CTTTTTGTGGATAAGTTTTTACAGTTTCGAAATAACGAATTTCCTTATCTTAATTTCTCTTTTCTTCATTTACTCTAATTTCTCATAACAATTAGGCATTTTAATTACCATTAGTAATTTAAATTTATATGTGTAAACAGAACTTTTCTATTAATTTTCACTATACTTCTTCTTTTTGGGCAAACCAANCACTATACTTCTTTTTTATTTATTAATTTAATTTATTTTATTTTAATTATAGTTTGATATTATTTAACTTTCATTTTTCTTATAACTATTATTTGCCTTTGCTTTTCCATTGTTCCAAGCAGAGGCTTCATGTCACCGTTTCTCATTCAATATTTAATTAAATATTATTTAAATTTTAATTTACTTTTGATATTAAAATATTTAAAATCAAAATAACACAAGTAATTTCAATTTCATTGTTTTTGTTCAAATAATAATTTTGGTGGAGGAGCCGTACATGTAATCATTTTGGTGTATGATTGGTTGTATACACAGGGGATGAAAATTCCTACTTTTTCGTTTAATGTTTAGTACCTACATTAATCGACAAAAAGAATTTTGAAAATAATTTGTCTCAATTTCAAACTTATTACCATTACCCCCACAAAGTATTTCATTTAGAGAAACTATTTGACACACATAAATATTAATATTAGATTTTGTTACAGCTATTTTTGGTTCGTTCTCAAAGAAAAATGGCTATTAATGGTGTTGAGATTCATTACATAAGGGATGATATTGGAATTCTGCTATAAAGGTGAGTTGTTTCAGTAAGACGTACCTAATATAACTAGTTACTTCTTTATACTTTCATAAACTTTATAATTACTTACTTACTTATAAAGGTAAATGTGCAAAAAAAACTTGAAAATAAGTAGCCTTAAGTATATTTCTTTTGTTTTTAGTTATACATTCATTTATTCACCCTTAAATTTATTACATTTTCAGTGTAGCTTTTTATTTATTTCATTCTCCTTTTTCAAATACGGTTTTACTTAAAGCTAATTGTTTTTTATTTTGCATCTTCGACATTTAAGTATTTTAATTACTACTAGTAACAGAACTTTTCTATTCTATTTTTTCATTTATTTTATTTTAATTGCTGTTTGATAATATTTAGCTTACTATTATTTGATTTTACTTTTCCATTGTTCTAACCAAAAGCTTCTTGTCACTATTTCTCATTCTACATTCGTTTCTTTAATTGTTTCTGATAATTATTTCATTGTTCTTGTTTAAATAATAATTGTGGTGGAGCCGGGCGTATAATAATAATAATGATTAGGACGCTAATAATAAATATTAAATATAAATTACTTTATTTAAAATAACTTAAAGTGAGAAAGAAAAACAATACAGTAGTTGGAAATTAGATGCCCTTTTTTTCAAAAGAGTAACTTCATGCAGTTTAATTTTAATTATTCGCGTCCTAATTATTATTTTCAAGATTATTTTTGTCTATTAATGTAGGTACTATATTTTAAAGAAAAAGTTGAACTTTCACCCCTTGTGTATACAACCAATCATACACCAATATGCGTCTGCTT